GTGATTCATACCTCCAACATATCCAGACTCTGGAAACATGTCTCCATGATGGATTTTGATTACAAAACAAATGATATGTCATTGTAACCTAAAAAAATATATGTCCAAATTAATAAAATATTAAGATACCCAATTGTTTCATCACATGTAAAACTCAGAAATTTTATACTCTAAAAAAGGACCCACAAACCCTATAATAAACCCTCATATTTCGGTAGAAGAGTTATCTAGAAAAAGCCCTAGATTCTAAATTGAACAACCAAAGCCCAAAGAATAGATACTAACATGAAGCAAATCCTTAAATGATTCAGGAATAAGATCTTTTGATGACTTCAACCAAATGTATAAGAAATCATCGGAGTGTTTATAAGATTTGTTTTGCTATAAAGAAAAATGAAGTAGAAAATTGTTTTGGCTGAAATATATTACGTAGAATGAAGTTTGGGGTAAGACTGTAATTGCACAGAAAAATGTTAGAAAACTAACGCCGTTAAATTTTTTAAGTTTGACCAGAAAATATAAGTGAGTATTTGGTACGTTTTATAATTAAGGGGTGTGTATGCGACACAGTGCATAATCCAAGGGTGCAAAGTAAACTTTGCCCTTTAATTTATGCCACATGGCTTTCAATGAATAGGATCCTATTTTTTCCTATTATCGGATCGCCCGGCTCTAATGTTATCCCTTCAATAAAATCAATTGCTCGTTTATATTATAAGAATATCCTTGTAGTTCTATAAGTTAAAAGTTTCTAGAATTGTGGGAACAACATAGTGCGTGCTTTTGGACCATCAGTTATCATCAAAGTTAGCTGCCAATTTTTATCTATGTTAAGAAGTTGGTTGCCAAGTTTCAACCATTTTTTTTTCAAGAAGTTACTATTTGTTTTATACAATATAGAATGTGGTTATTCCTATCTCGGTCTACTTGGGGTTTATACTTGCCGCTACGCCATATTAGAGATTCTCAACTTACCTACTATCCCATAACTCCCTCCATGATGTATGTAGGGTATAACTTCCATGTAACTCCAATGTAACCTCTTTGTGACTTCCGGTGGTTTGCACCTATATAAATAAGAATCTCCCTTCCCCTAAGAATCACATAATTATCTCTCTACGAATTGTCTCTCTTGTGTTGTTACATTCTCTGCATTTTTGTTCTCTTATTTACGTTCTTATGTATTTCCACAATCACCCTGCCACATAATTAGATTAAACATCTCATTTTACAATACGTTATCAACTAATTATTTTATTAGTGGGCTAATTATTTTTAAGGGTTGAGCTCGAGCCAGAAATCTCAACTCGTCGAGCTCGAGTACAAATAGTCGAGTTCAAGCTTGAGCCTTCCAAAAAAATCGAGCTCAGCTCGTTCACACCCCTAGCAACATGGCCCTAACTTTATCCATCAAAGTTCTATTCATTCTTTCAAAAATGTCATCTTGTTGGGGGTTTATATGCAATTTTCCTATGTCTCTTAATGCCCAATTCCGCACACAATGCAACAAATTCATGCTTACAAAATTCAGTGTCATTATCAGTCCTAAAAGAGTTCTAATTTTTCTGTTGTTTTGATTGTCCATGAGAGTTTTTCAAGGCCTTAAACTTATCAAACACATCAGATATATGAATAAACAAGAAAATAATAATCTACCACATACAATAAATATCTATTTCTACCAGGTGTAAAGACATATGTAGGACCCCAAACATTAGCATGAATATATGCATTCAAGAATTTCAGTGCATTTGGAAGAATTAGGAAATGAGGAAATATGGAATTGGCCTTGAATTGTTTACCCATAATGCATGAATCACACACACATATATATATATATATATATATATATATATATATATATATATATATATATATATATATATATATATATATATATATATATATATATATATATATATATATATATATATATATATATATATATATATATATATATATATATATATATATATATATATATATATATATATATATATATATATATATATATATATATATATATATATATATATAGGCATATCAGAAACAACATCACCACACATATAGTTGTTTCCACACATATAGTTGTCTTTTGTGCAGAATTCATAGTCCTTTTCTATGCCATAGATAGTGATGTCATGCTGGACATAATTTACGCGTGAAACAGAAACAACATATACAACATACATGACGTTCTTAGAGATTTAAATGCAAGCAACCACCACACACAATATTCATCATTCCATCACTAAATGCAACTCTATATCCAGAATCTTTTAAAATAGCACAAGACATCAAATTACTACTCAGTTTGGGAACATATCTAACATTCTTCAATGTCAACACAAAACCAGATTCATACCTCTTACTACTATCATCCTTGGAAACGGAGCCATATTTTAATTCATAATATGAACAAAACATGATTCTATGAGGTGCCATATGATTTCAACATGCAAAATGCAATAACCAGCCATTATTACTCAACGATGTAGACACAAATCATTCACATAATCAATATAAAGATCAAATATCATATACACATCACCCATGTTTTCATCAACTTGATTAGCTCGTTCACTAGCCTTATTTTCCTTTTTAGGTTCAGAACACTTATTGACACAATGGCTAGCTTTTCTACAGTTGTAACTTTCTATGTTTCATTTATTCTTACTCCCTCCTTTTTCCTTTTCAAATTTTGAGAAGTTTGATTTTGGTTACTTCCAGAAGAAGAATTGTTTCAGGCTTATATTTTCATAAAATTTACTTCACCCAAAGATATGTTACCCATGTTAGTTTTTAAGTCAGATTCTTTGTTTTTCAAACAATTTATTACGGTGTCTAAAGTCATTCTATCGCTACCATACTTAATAGTAAATTTTACATCACTGTAAGAATTTGAATAGCATTTAGAAGCACAATAGGAGTATATTCTCAATATTTTTGTCTACAGTTAGCTTAATATATATTTTGCACAAGTTTTCTAAAACTATCTTGATCTTCATTAATATCTTTGTGCAAATCAAGTTTAAACTTAAAAAAATATTTCTAGCAAAATTATCTTAGAGGGTAAGAATATTTCAGTATAAAACTCTCAAGTTTATTCCACAATTAACAGAATCATGATTTCCCAATTTTCTAATCACAAAGTCAGGTAAATTTAAAATAATCACAGAGTAAGCAAGTTCATCAAGATAATTTTTTACAACTTTTGTGGTTTTATCATCACAAGTCTCAGTTATAGCTTTATATCATTCTTATTGCACTAATACACCTTTTATTTTTGTTGTCATATAGCGAAATCATCATTACCATCAAATGAGGCCATATGGTAGGAATTCATTTCACACAACAAGCAAGAGCATATAAAAACAAGATAAGAGCACACAGAAGTTGAACACATGCAACAAAATATTTCAACTAAGATAGCTGCACACATACAACAAAATATATCAACACATAAAGCTGCACACAAACAACAAATTATTTCAACACAAAAAATAATCCAAAGCAACAGATTATCTCACACGATAACCACACAATTTACCCAAGTATACATGTGTAGAAAAATATATTTTAAAATGGCTTGGATGACAAGGTTGTCTCAGGTCAACCCCCGCCCAGATTCCTGCGACACGAAGCGCTCTAAATAAGGGAAGTTTGGTATAGAAAACGACATAAGTTATGTGAGGCTCCAGAAAAAAAAAAAAAAAAAAAAAAAAAATATATATATATATATATATATATATATATATATATATATATATATATATATATATATATATATATATATATATATATATATATATATATATATATATATATAAAACTGTATCTCCATCTCCTCCTACATGTAAATCCTGATCGCGCCGCTGGCGAACGGGTTGCTCTCCGGGGAGCCGCCATTCTCCTCGTAAGCGGCACGTAGCCAACCGATGAGGGCGTCGAGGCTGCCCCAGGCCTGCTTGAGC